CTCACCCTGCCAGTAAAAGTGCCTGCAGACCTGGTTAGTGTGCTGTGGATGCAGCAAAAGCAACATCTCAAAACTTTTGAAAATGTTTAATGTTTCAAAAGATTCAGATGGCTGGGCAGGTTTGAGCTGGACTTTTCTATAGCTAGGCAGAGCTTGAAAGAAATTTCACCCAATTTTGATACTGTTTCCCGCTTACTGTCTCCCCCCAGTATGTGCCTCAGTATGTATGGTGACTTACGCACATAAAAAATTCATGGCCAAGGAAGAAGTTACTATGTAAGTACTGCAGATGTCAGTTCTCTTTCTTGTTGAAAAGGATAAATCTAGTCAATACATCTTGTGTTTTCTGCTTGTGGGTGAAGGCTCTATGGGAGCAAAAGTGGCACGTGAATTACTCTGCAAGTGTGGTTGTAGTGATAGCATTTCAGAATAAAGCTGGCTGCTGTAAACAGCCATTTAATTTCTTGAAATTTGCTTTTGCCAGCACCTGCAAGCATCAGGGCTGGACTTACCTCCTCAACGTTGCAGATGCTCTGTAGGCTGGGTCACTGCAACAACTTGTCCATCTGTCTTCTGTAAATAATGCAAATAACGTGCTCTGCTCCATTGTCCGGCTGTGTAGATACTGCATAGTGTGTTAGCCATCTGTGCATCACTGCGACTCATAGACAGAGGAGATGTTTTGGAGAGTGTATTGAAGCAAGTGTATAGGTTGCGGTAATGGGGCATTCTCTAGCATTGCTGTATTCTCTGCTAGAGGGACGGCTCAGTGACATTCAGACCCTGGTACTGAGGAGCTGGAGACTGTAGTTTTCCCAGAACTTCTGAAGCCAAAGACTGAAACAAGAGGACTGCTGATATTAATTGCTGGGGGTTGTATGAGACTTAGGGAATACCTACAGGGGCTGAGAGTCCACTTCTTGGTGATTGAAGAATTTAAGCTGTTCCTACCTTGTCCTTTTGATTTTATGCTCTAGGAAGGTAATGTGTGATTTCCTCCCCGCCCCTTCCCTTCCTACACAGCACAGAAGCCAACAGAGGCCTGAGAAGGGAACTCCTACATGTTGATTTTCTACAGAAATGTTCACCCACTCCCTCCTTCACTTCTCTTCAAATGTTTGCTTGCTGTAGCCGTTTCCTAGCTTGTGTTTGAGAAAGTTTAAAGCCATGGTTCCCAAATTTCCCTTGTGATACACCCGCTTTTTGCCAAATACATGTTAGAGTATCAAGATTCGCTTTTTCTAGCAGGGCCCAGACAGTTATATTCAGGAACTTTTGAGAGTTCTCCTGATCTCCATGAGCTGTTTTCTAATGGCCTGATATACAACTCTTTAAATATCTGAGAAACATGCTCCAAAAGTCTTTCCATGGAAGATCTTAAAAGAACACAGGTAAGAAGACAGAGTGGGGAAGGACATGAAACCCAAGGTGCAAAGACAAAGAGGCTCTGGAAGTTTGTAGCCTAAACCACCTTGTGAGAGTTGAAAGGATCACTGAACAAACTAAAGAGATCAAGCTAACAGGATCACTGAACAAACTAAACAGGCTTCTGGTGTGTCAGCGTTTTTGGATGAGGAGCTGTCATTAGCCCCCGATGTCACTGTCAGTGCTAAAGGTGACTTGGCAAATGACCTTTTGCCAAGCTGGTTCTTGTGCAGTTTCAGATGTAACCATTAAAGGTGGTTCTATGCTTTTATACACATTAGAAAGCTAGTGTTCATTTCCTGGTCAAAATCTCCCCTGGGTATTTTTATTCTCCATTAACATTCCTTCTGGGGATTGGATTTGGGTCCTTTGCTTCCTGTCCTGCTCCTGTTCAGATGTTAATCAGCTGTTGCATTCTATTCCAGTTATGTGTTAGCAATGTTAGTGTTTCTTGGGCAATGCTGATCTGTCCTGGCTTTTATAAAAGGGTTAGGGAAGCTAAGCTACTCTTAACACAGCAAAGAGAGATAATAAAATGCATACTTAAGGATATGGAGTGCAACTGAATCAGGGGGACTGGGATCTTTGTATTGTGGAAGGGGGGAGTGGGGCTGTAAGAAAAGTGCAATTCTGATTACTTTTAAGAGACTTCCGCAGGGTGCAGTGGGTATGACAGACACATGATATGTCCGGTGGTATTTACATTCAACAAGAACTATGTAAGACTGTAGAGTCTGGGGATTTCATTTTCTTTGGAAATATGTTAGGTGTTAAGTAGGGCTTGTTACACGGACTGTTGTTCAACAGCTAGCCTGATCCCTTTTTCTTGATAGCTCTTGGAATTGTTCCCATGCGGGGAACAGAGGTTTCTGCCTAACAGTCAAGGT